GGAATGATTTTGATTAACTGTGTTCTATGATGTGTGCTTGGATAAGTTCAACTTTCATGATATAATTTTTTTAACTCTATCTTAAAAAGAAAAATACCACAACTAAAAAGGGCTTTTTTGGTTTCAGAAAACCTTGTTACCTTGTCTCCTTGATCTCTAAGTTTGTAAACCTCAACCTGTTTTCATTTGACAACCCAATCCGACCCATTTTGTATGAGCCAATATTGGGTCAAACTTAAACCGGGTTGGGTTGGGTTGGCCCGTTTTATTAGACTAATTGTTAGATAAGTTGGTTTTGATTGATGTAATAATGATGGTATTGAGGCAGTGAAATTGAGATCTCCATTAATTGCAGGTGCCTATTCAGACTGTAAAAGAGCATTTGTTGAAGGAAGGCATTGAAGTCCGAATCTAATCATATATGCATTTAGGGCTAAATTTTTTTAGATGCACTTCTTAATAAACAAACTCTGTATCTTATCACTTTCTGTATCTAAACTCTCCAAATCTCAACATTTTGGCTCATCAAAAAAATTTCACTGAGACATTTGTAATATTTTACGATAAATAGATTTACCATGTGCACCACTTTTTCTGAACATTTGTTTTACATCTTTGTTTCATTTCTCTGACTATAACAGATCACTGTCTCTTATTTAAAAGAAATAAAGTGGAAATAAGAAAGACAAAATTATATATATACAAGATAAAGCTAATGTCAATTTTGTGTATGAACGCAATTTATTATGTCCTCTTAAGAGTGTCTTCTTCTGTCGAAAGAAGTAACATCATTCACTTCAGCAATCATCTATTTTCAGTGATTAATTTGTAGTTATTTTTTACAGTTTTTCAGAGTTTTTATTCTAATTTTTGTATAAGTTGATTTTAATTTGTTCAAATAATTTTTTTTTGTCTCACAAATATTTATAAAGAAATTTGTCTAACCTACTCTATGCAGTTAATAGGAAAATGTTGCCACATATCTGTAGTTTCAACGAATCTCCCTAAAATTTTTGAATTCATGAAAGAGTTAACTAAACTTTTATTAAGCATGATGATTTAGTATATTTAGATTTGGTATAATTATGTTTATTGATTTTAACTCTGAAGCTTCCAAGTCTTAATCTTTATTTTCATTAATTACTCTGATTATTCTCTAAAGACAATTCTGAGTTATCCCACAGTAACTGGGTTAAATTTTTGAAGGAATGTACGGAGATTTTTTATTTTTATTCAATGTGGGACTTAGAGTCACGTTTGGATACACAATCATCATTACCATTACACATTATTTATCTTTCGTTATTAATTACATAAAATATAATAATACGTAAAATATCTTTCATTCATTAATAAATGAATATCTAGAAGAAATATTAAATAATAAAGGAAGACCCAATGTTTAAAAATTAATTAATATTTTATTAGATAACAGATGCAACTCCATTTTAATATATTATTGAAAAGTTTATATTTGATAAGATTTTTTCTACGAATGTATCGTGAAACTTACACAAGTTTTGTAAGAAACATTGTAGCATTTCTTACTAAATATGAAAATTTGGACTCGAAAACCAACAAAACCACGAAATAACAAGGTTGTGTAAATTAAAAACAATCATTATTACTTTCGTCTTATTAAAAAATATCATTTTAAAATGTATAATCATAATACTTTTTTGCGAAGTTCTCTAATAAGATTTGGAGTTTTATTTCCACGCATTAAAAAAAGTCATTACACAAATGAGTAAAGATAAACATTCTAAATCTAGTTGGAAAATGACACAAAAAACAATTATAATATTTTCGTTTTGAAAAAGTAATTATATTAATTGAGTTTTTGTATTAAAAAGATGAGTTAATTTGAATTATATTTAAGTGGGTAGGTTGAAAGATTTTGTTGGTTATATCCTACAATTTCGGTGGTGAGTTATTGAATTGCAATTATATAAATGTTGATTCTGAATATTTATGATGGTTAGGTCATTTTGATGCCTTGGAATTATGGTTTTCATAAATATGGCTCCACATTTAACTTTTTCACGTTTTTCTGTTCAATCTTTCTCATCTGCTTCCAACAAATATTTTTTAAGATTCAATATCACCTTTCTTCTCATAACTTTATTTCCATGCTTTTAGGCTTTTTCAAAATGTGAAGAGAAATACTTATAATTTCTATTTTAATTTAAAGTGTGGTGACTTTAAGTTAGAGAATTTTAGTTTTGTTTTTTAGATTAGTGTTATTTGGAATTGAAACATATTTAAATTGCATTTTATCTCAGTTCCTAAATGATACAATAATCTTATCATTGAGTGTGATAGAAATATAATTTTATTGAGTCTAAAAATATGGAGTATTAAAAAAACAAAATTCTAAGATTATAAATTTAGAGTACTTAAAAACAAAAACTTGAGAGTATTTCGTATTAGAAAATAAACTCTTTTACTATTTTGTTAAATTTTATAGTGTTTTAATAACCAAATATTTTTCTAGAATTAGTGTAAATTTATTTATATATTAGAATAGTTCAGTCTACAGGTAAATTATAATCTGATATATTAAACAACTTAGTCATTTTATTTCAAACTTTAAGACCCAATGATCGGACATATCCTATGTTATCAGATCATGACTTATGATCAAACTTTATCTTATCTATTTTATCATGAGAGTAAAATTACACTTAATTTGGTTTTGAAATTACTTCAACAAAAATTAACAAATACATTATTTGTTTTAGTAGAAGACATCTTGTTCATAATTTAATTAGGACTTTTTTTTTTTAATTTTTGTATTTTTCATATTCAGCATGATGTTGATTCTTCGATTAGATCCCTCTTAATCAATTAAAGTTAAGGGTAAGTTATATACGAAAATGACTTAAATATTCATGATTAAATATATTCGTATGCACAACAAACTATTAAATTGGATATTTTTGTGTGTGTGTGTGTATATATATATAAAGTGTTGACTATTAAAACATGATTTAATGGTTTATATTAATAATTTTATTTATATAATGAAAAATATTTTCATATTATCTATTAATATATAGTTGAAAGTTCAAGTACGTTTTTACTAATGGAATGACGAATAAACTGGCCAACAAAATAATTATCGATTTACAATTTTGTTCGATTTGAAACATTTTAAAATAGTTAAAATACCAACTCGAAAATATAATGCTACACAATGACTTTTTAGTCCTGCCCTATGAACATTAAAAACACAGTAATTTTAAAATATATATATATATATATTTTAAAACTTTATAATAAGTTATTCTCAGTGTATTTAAAAAGCACAACACAAATAGAGAAACAGAAAAATTCAAGAGAAAATCTAAATTATTAGAACACAATCTATATGATAAAAAGATTTGAAGCAGCATTTTTGTATTGTAAAATCCGCAAAAGATTGGACATAAATGTTTTTTGGTATTAAAATTGAAATTTTATGTTGAAAGTTTAAGATGAAGACATATTAGAAAAATAAATGTTAAAAAGTAGATGTAACTTTATTTTTGTTTTCAAAAGTAGAGAAACATTATAACATTAAAGTCAAAGAAAACGGTCCATTCAGTTAGTTGCCTTTAATGACCACATTTACTCTTCCTCTATTTTCAAAGGAATCAATTTCATACTCTCGAGAATTTTTTTTCTAAATGCAAATTTTCCATAAATTAAAATTAATTTCTATACACAAATTAAAAATTAATTTTAATTTCTCTGTTTACATTTTTACCTTCAAGAAATTTGTGAAGAAATCTAAATACACCCTTATTAAAAAGTTAAGAAATATATTGTTGGGTACTCATCTTTAAAAAATACACTCTCACAATTTAAATGGCTTCTATCTCAATAAGAAAAAAACTTGTGTATCTCATATGACACTATCATTTACAATAGTTGTACATTTTTACTATACATTCTTCTATTATTTATCTCTATTGTTATTTTTTTTTTAAATTACTTAGTATCAATTGAACACATATATGGAAATAATATTCGCAATGGATGAGCATATAATTTACAAATATAATCATACGGTCTCGAAATTTCCAAAGAATGTAACAAAAAACTTTCATGTTTTAACAACCATTGTGTTTTAAAATATTTTTCTATAAATATTTAAAAAAGGGGAGTTAGACCCAGTAAATTAAAAAAAATAAGTATTTTACTAAAAATTTAAAAATTTTAGATAGGTGAACTAATAATAACTTTTCAATTAAATTCGTAACATTTTATAAAATTTTGAAAATGTAAAATTATTATAATTCATGACGATTTCTTTATAAATATGAAAATCATTAAGAGTATGATAACTTTTAATTGAACAAAAGTCATCTTGATTCATGTGGACTTCAATCTAGCCTACACTCTAACTTCATTAAAAGGAATTTGAACTTACAACGTGTTAATTAAGTCCCTGATCAATTTGATACAATTAGACCAAAATATACACAATTGAAATCTTAATGAGTCAAGACAACTTTATTTCAATTGAAAATTGACACCACTCGTTTAACATATTTACAAAAAATATAAATCATTATGATTTCATATTTTTTAAAATTTTATAAATAAGTTGTTAGAACTTATCATCATTTTAATTGAGAAGTCATTAAGACAACTTACCATAAATATGTAAATTAAGTTAATTATCCAATTTTTGTAATTTAATAATAAAATTCCATTTTTTTTAAATTTTCCTATTTTTCTGTGTACGTTCAAAAGTCTAATCTCATACAGTGTAAGAATTAAGGTTACTTAAGTTCTATTTAGGAATAATAATATACTGAAATTATGTTCGATAAAGACGTTGTGATATATATATATATATATATATATATATATATATATAGAATGGATTTCGTTTTAATTTTCTCTTATGATTGGGACATATGCATGCAATTTCAGCACTGTGTTTGGTTCCTTCATGAAGAAAATAAAAGTAGAAGAAGTAGAAGTGTGGAGAAGACAAAGACAACCACTGATTAAACAAAAGTTATTAATATTCGATATAGGAGTTATTTCCATTTGACAGATAAATGCCCGAAACTAACGACAACAATATTGAACGTAAACATATATTAAAGTTACATTTTATGTTATTAATGCCAAAGATAACAAGACTAGCCATGTATGTGTGCATGCAAACTTTCAAGGAAATCCACCTCCGCCACCAGCTCCTCCGCCAAATCCACCTCCGGCGCCAAGTCCACTCCCAAGTCCACCGCCAGCACCGCCGCCACCTCCAAACCCTCCTCCACCACCTCCTCCGAGGCCGCCACCAGCACCAGCACCACCTCCAAATCCAGACCCTCCTCCAAATCCAGCTCCTCCACCGGCTCCACCGCCACCGCCAAATCCTCCACCACCACCGCCCCCGAACCCTCCTCCGGCTCCACCACCAGCACCAGCACCACCACCAGCACCAAACCCTCCTCCGGAGCCACCACCTAACCCTCCTCCTCCACCACCACCAAAACCACCTCCACCTCCTCCTCCTAGACCTCCTCCAAATCCCGGACGGTGAAAGAAGTTCTTCTCATCCCTAAAACCACCCTTCTCACTCCCAAGCTTCCTTGCATCAATGGTGCAAACAAGCGCACCAAGAAGCGCAAAAAGAAGAACCCTAGAAACCATCTTGTGCTGGCCAAACGAAGCAATCACTTGCAAACAAGATGGGTATCGGTGAGGACTACGAGTGAAGGAAGTAGGGTTTATATAGCAATGCCCCTAAGCCAAAGGCTACTTCAAAACAATTTTATCATCCAAATCATCATCATAATCATTATTATTACATACCATTATCATTATCATGCGGAAAACAATAACTTTCAATGTAGTTTAGTTAGTTTTATGAATGTTTTTTCTTTTGATATATTGAAAATGGAGATGAATTATTGCAGAAGATGCTTTAAATTGGATCATCTTCTTAACCATGCAAACGCGTTGTTGTTCATAAATGCTTGCAACTGGCAGTGTTTGAAAAAAGGAGAAAAAAGCTGAACCACTGAGGCATCTCAAGGGACCCACTGGTTTGTGAGAGAAGGACATTCACGTTGCTCAGAGTCTTCTTTTCATCTGTTTCTGCATGGGCCTCCCTGCAACATCCACCTTTTCAATTTCAACATTCATTCTTTATCCATTCAATACAACTCTCTCACCTCAACTTCTATGAATTATATATTATAGCTTTCTAGTAACTTCGATTATAATATCAATTTTTAGGGTTTCAAAGTCTCAACTAGAAAATGTGGTTGAGATTATATGAGGTCATGGATTGACCTTTTTTACCCCCAAAGAGAGGGTAGAGTGGCTTTTACTTTTTGAGAAACCTTAAAAGGAAATTACAGTTTCAGGAAAAAATATTATTGAGATGACATTTTGGGGAATGTTGGAACGTCTCTTTAGATTTTCAATTTCACTTTTTCTTGTTTAGATCATACCTTTGTGAAAATTGGTGATTCAGGATTTATCACAGTTTTGGCTCTTGTTGAGAGAAAAAATGATTGTAAAGTTGAAGAAACTTATGAAAATAATTTGTTGTAAAAAAAAAGAAACTATTGGTGTAACATGCTGTTTTTTTATGTGAAAAATATTTATGTACACCCAGAAGCTTCATATATGGAGATTTTGAAACTGGATCTTTTAAAACCCTGAAAATGATATCTGAAAGGAAAAGACAGATGTCTCGACCAAAAGAGATTTAACATTTTATAAAATTTTCTAAACCACAGCTCATTTCATTTTTTATAAATCCACATCTCTCTAAAACTCAAACATCTATCTTTTTTCCTTCTTCTCTCTAGAAATTCTTCATCTCCTTTCATCTTTTCCTCAAACAGCCACCATATAAGCAATTTGGGAGTCAAGATCTTCAATCTCCACCGATCAGAGTTTGGTTTAGAGTTGGTAAGTCTTGTTTTCTTAAATTATTGTTAGATTTTGTAACTTTTAAACACATGCAAGCCAAGTTTCTGGTTGCATGTGTTCATCAGTGTTCTTTTCTCAATTCTGATCACATTTTTGGTCTTTTGGGTGGTCTTTTCTCAACAATCGGTGAACTGTAGGCGTTTATAGGAATTTCTGGTAGTGATCGAGTCTGTAGTTGTTGAAGTTGTTCGGTCCGATTAAGAGGTAAGGGAAGCTAGATAATTGATGATGAAGATGTTGTTTGATAGATATACATGTGTATGAAATTGATTGGGATAAAGTTGTATGAATGTAAAATTGGATGAATTGGGTGTTCGGTACTGTTGGTGTGGAATAATTGATGTTGTATTTATGATGATTGTGTATCTGTATGATTATGGAACAGTGGTCGAGTGAAATTGGTAGGGTTTAGTGTCGATCTTAATTCTGTAGCTATTCTGCATAATTATGTAGTTGTTGAAGGTCTTTAATTGACTGTTCGACTTTTATCTAGTGTTTGGTCTTAACTGAGTTATGCTATTGTGGATTCTCAGTTAATGACCGTTCGGTTTAGTATTCATTTTTAATGAATTGTAGCATTCGGTCTAGACATAGCTTTTGTTTATAAACAACGTTCGGTCTGTCATAAGCTATAACTGTTATTGACCGCTCGATCTTGAACTGTCTTGGTAGTGCTCGGTCAGATGCCAACACTCAGTTTCAGTAGTGCTCGGTGATGCACTAAGCACTCAGTCTCATCATATTACCAAAATTATGTAATTGAAATTGAAACTAAGAGTGTTCAGTCTAAGCTCATAGTATTCGATTTAAGCTCTTAGATTTTGTTTATAAGCTTTAGTATTTGATTATGTCCAATTATAGATGTTCTATAATATTCAATCAATTCTTTGGATTCGGTCTAGTAAATACAGTTCGATTATGGTCTTTGAATAATGAGAAAATGTTTTATCTCACAATAAGTATTTGGTTCAACTAAAGTGTTTAGCCTGGTTATAACGTTCGACATAAGCCCTAAGCGTTCGGCCTAAGCCTATAGTGATTAGTCTAAGATAATAGTGTTCGGTATGGTCTACTAGTGGTCGACATTAATCAATAAGTGTTCGGTCTAATTCAATAATACTCAGATCAAGCTAATAGTGTTCGGCTCATGCTTGAGTTTCACTCTTTACATGATCGTTCGGTCATGTTCACCATAGGGAAACAATATCCTGTTCGGTCAGGTTCACCATAGGGAAACCATATCCTGTACGGTCAGGTTCGCAGATAGGAGGTGTTCTACCGTCAGGTTTTGTTCATAATAAGTGTTGATATTTTCCAAGTCAGTTATGCTCCATGGTGATGTTGTTTTAATGTTCGGTTTGAAGTTATTTAAAGGTGTTATGGATGAGGAAAGATGTTGTTAATGATGTATGGTATTTAAAATGTGATATGAATGGAATAGTATGAATATGAAGAAGTATCATGTGATTTGTATTATATGGATATGAACGAGTGTTCCAAGGAGGAATATCTCAGAAATGGTTATGGAATTGTAAAGTATGAATATGGTCAGATTAAGTTGTCGTTCATCCTGACATTCTAATGGTCTCCGAGTCTCAAGTAGAGAATGTTGACGCATATGGTGAGAATAGCAAGAGGCCTGGTTGCGTATAGCTTGGGGTTCCATCTATCGGACTAAACTCATGTGTAGACTTGGGTTTTCAGCTACAGTGAGGGATGAAGGGCTAACCTTGTGTGGCGGCTTAGGTTTCCAGCTATGGTAATTCTGATAATTTTCCAGACTACCTTTCCATGAGTGCAAGAACGTCGTAGCTACATAATTCATACAGTTCGGACAGTCAAAGTGAAAGTGGTCGGTTATAATATGTTGGTGTGATTTCTGTAGAAGTATGATTGTTTTATGTGTTTGTATGAAATGAATGTTTACATAGTTAATTAAATTACACTAGCTTACCCTTATTTTCCTGTCTTGTCATGTTGTCTGCTCAGTCGTCCTTATCTTTGCAATGATCACCCTGTGGGTGTGAGCAGAAGGTGCATAAGTTTCTCTGGAGCAGGCGCTGGCATAAGATGATGGTCTCCGCTAAGAGTAAAATCGTTCGGTCTTGACTTTGTTTTGGTATTTAGTATAGGATCGTTCGGTTAATACACTTCTTGTATAACCGATCGGTTTGCCCTTTTGGGTCCTCTCAGTGTAGGTTTCTGTAAAGTTTTTAATTTATGGTTATTTTAGGATAACTGTAAGTTAAACTTTATTTTCTGTAACTGTTCTATTTTTATTGTAAATGTAAGTACTCTTAAATATAGTTTGCAGCTATATTTTTGGGATGTTACATATCTGAACAAAAGTTTGTGTGAGATCGATCATGACTTTGTGTATATAATATTATTTTTCTCTTATTTGTCTCTTTTCTTTTAAAAAATGAGATTCTATATTAATTGAATAATGATGTACTCCATCTCATACCCACTAGTAAAAAATAGGCTTTTTAACTCGCCTAATAGGCTTCGGTCAAAGAAAAACCGAAACATATCCGAAAGCGGTGGTAATCTTGTATTTTAAACGAACTTATATGCCCCGGTTTGTGAAGAACCGAAGCATGTAGTGCATATTACCTCGGTTCAAAGCATAATTGATGCTTAATACAATGTAATAAAAGTCACTTGACCCTCTGCAAAACTGCATTTTGGCCTAACACGTGATATAGTGCTTCAGTTCTAAACAGAACCGGTGTTGAAATAGGTTTATGCCTGAGTTAATGCAGAACCGAGGCCTAAGATTCTGTCAAATCCTACCTTTTTTGCCTGACCTGCACTGCACCCTACTGCTCATTTCTCCTACTGCTCAAACCCTACTACTCACTTCTTCACTCAGTTCCTCCCACAACTAAACCACACCACTACCAACCCCAAATCTGGTGGTGGAACTTGGAGAGGCAAACCGCGTAGTCGGCGACGGCGGAGGAAGAGCGACGCGTGACGGAGGAGAAAGTGAATAGCAGCAGCGTGTCAATGACTAAGGCAACGACGACGGCAGTGGACGAGGAGTGGACAATCTCCGGTGAGATGCGGCGGCTGGAGGAGAATATCGGCGTGGCGGAGGCGGATGTGGAGGGCGCAACGGAGGAGGAGAAGCGACGGACGCAACAGCGATTGAGGTGGCGGAGGCAGCGGTGATTGAGGTGGCGGAGGAGGAAGCGAACGACGCGAGGACGAATGGCGCGAGGACAAACGGCGTGGGGACGGCGGCCTTGTGACGATTTTTTTCTTGTTTCAAAGTTTGGGTTTGTGTTGTTCTTTGAATGAAGAAGGTACTTCACTAGTGGTGGGATTTTTGGGTTTGAGGAATTTGGATGATGCTGAAACGTGAAATGTGGTTTCTGTGAGCAGGTAATGATCTTTTGAAGTTCAGGCAGAGAATAATCGGTGACCCTTTTGGTGCTTTGTCAAATTGGGTGGATGATGATTCATCTTTTGACCCTTGTAATTAGTTTGGAGTTGAGTGCTGAGATGGGAGAGTTGTGGCCTTGTACGTGCTGATTTTTTTAACCGTTTTTCTCAGAAACTGCTTATTTGTAACCAATGTTGTTTTGAACAATAGTTTCCTCTGTTTTGAAATTTGACTTAAGTGATTTTGTGCTCAGGAATTTGAAGGATCTCTGTTTGCGAAACTTATCCACATAAATTCCAGAGATTCAATATGACTGGCTAAAGAAGAAAAAAAAATAAAAAAAAAGGACCCTACTGCCTCGGTTCAGGCTTCAACCGATGCAGTAGAGGGGAC